TATTTATAAAATTGTTATTAATTAATTTTGTAGGAACAGACAAATATTACGGCTTTTGTAAACTCACCCAGAGCACAACCAACTGTCAATTTCATTGCGCCCATTATTTATAGATATAACGCTCGTGATTTTGGTAAATGAAACTTAGCTAGATAGATTTATCGCGCACGAAACCTATTGCATAATACATTTCATGAAAATCGTTGAAGCCGTTTCTGGGCTTCAGATTATATATAACTACTTATACACAAAATATGCTCGTTTAAATGTACTAGATACATTCGACTGCGATGCTCTGTATTGTCTGAAAGTTTGTAGTAATGAAATATATTGTTTGCCATCCCACCCCATGTACACATGGCAGCACATCCACGCTCAATTTCCACGATCACTTTGGAACTCTACTGTAAATACATTAGTTTAAATATCATATGGAGGAAGTCAGATTTATAACTTGAAGTAATGTTGACTGCAATTAATAACACCGTATTATTTATAAAAAAAGTGTTTTATTAGCTACAGTTGTTTTTCCGCGACTTTACTTATATAAAATTTAGTCAAAATCACCCGTGTATACTGTTCCTCGTAGGTGAAATATTTTTTCAAATCGGTCCAGTAGTTTAGCCGCTATTCAATTGCAAACAAACAATCAAATCTTTTCTCTTTATAATATTATTTTAAGTCAGTGTATGTTGTCTTTTTCGTTGAAATTTTATTTATAGAAGAAATAAATATGACTAAAATAGATTGTTAGTGAAATAGAATAAATATGAGTAAAACTGTTGTCTGAACAAAATGCATATTATCGTATGTAAGAAAACACCTTAATGGATGATACATCGGTGTCCTTGTTTATTTACGCGTAGGCGAACATTATATACGACGTTCACCTAGATAATGGTCGCAAATTGTCTATTTATGTATTGTGACTCTTTTTTCTTCCTTTTGTCAAGGTTATTCATGAATAGCGAGTGTTTATCTAACGATTTAATTTGCTAGATGATTTTGTTCACGCACAGTATAAATGTTTGATAAAAAGGGAACTGAGATTTTAGTTTCATGGGTAATAAAATAAAGTTAGATCAATGGCACCATCCATGTAGATTTGGGCTTATTTTCAAACTTTTACAATAATAATGTTGTAAAAGTTCGATTATATACCTGTCATACTTAAAGTTGTATACTTTACAACTTTAAGTATAAGACGCTAATGTTAAAAGACATTTGATATAAAAATAATAATGTTTTGTTTTGTCTTTTTCGCTCAAACTCATATATAATTCATAAAATTCAACAATTCATAGCTCAAAATAAATTTACGAAACATAGTAAAAGCATTTTCATTTAAGAAATATTTGCTATTTTTTTAATACAATGTTGTAATACATATTATTCAATAATTTAGTATTAAAGATTGGAAAACTAAAATTCCAAAACATCTTGTTTCATTTTTGAAATCCATTCATCTTAAGTGATTTGTTTAGTGACAATTGTAAAACAAAGTATTTTGAAAATAGAACTCGAGAACGATATTTGAATTTGAATGTTCTATCGTGTCAACATATTATAAAATGGAATGCGCAGGTCACAGTGGAAAGCGGTCCCTTCACCGGTGCCACGAATAAATGCCAACAATAATATTGAAGTATAGCTTTTATCACCATACCTTAAGGTTCTTTAAAATTATTAGGTAAGTATAATAGAAAAGGGTTTAAAAAGTATGTCAAACCTCGGCGATAACTTTCGAGCGAAAGTGTCCGTAGGTACTGTTTACGCAATATTATGAATAGAAAGTATTATTAACTATTCATACACTACCTTAAAGAAAAGTTCTTAGTCGACTTTAGTTAAATTTGGGGCTTTGAAATAATTAAAGGGATATCACTGAGACGTTTTTTTGATGAAGTGAGACAAGTTCTCTATAATTAAAATACTGGAATGAGGAATGTGAACAAGTTTTCCAATTAAGTAAAAATTGATTAGAAAACTTTTTCGGCTTTCCTGACGTAGTATTAAACTTTTTACTTTTTACTTTACTTAGATGCACCTATTTTATTCACAGAATCCAGTTATTCATTATTGACGTTAACTTTTTATTTCTAAATCTATCAATAATTGACTTGTTTTTATTTGAACAAGACACTATATAATAATGTTATTTATTTAGTGCCAATTAAAAGTTTTTTTAATTAAAATAATATTCTGATACTAAAATAATTTCTTGGTTAATTATTACTATTAAATATCATTATATTATTACCGGTTTATGATTTAAGTAAATAGCGTTATTATTTGGCCTAACTTTTTATTATGTTTTTGACTACCGAGTCGCAGTACAATGATTTAATTATTTTTTGATCATAAGGTTTATTTCAAAGTTTTGTCGTTTATCTTTCTACAACAAGAACATGGGTTTAAAACATATTGCTTCATTATTTTCCATAAAACGGACTAAAAATATTACGCTTTGGAGTTCTGAATTTGATAAAATATGCAATAATATTAGCATAGCATAATAGTTTACTTCATCACAGATATATTAATGAACAAGCTTATAATTCTACGCTAATAAAATAATTAAAACAAAAAGTGAATAATTACAAATCATAGTATTTTTATTATTATCCTATTATTTAAAATAATGATGTATTTCCGCATCATACGCTTATCTTGATTACATTAATCATGTTAAGATAAAATGTGATGTTCGACTAATGGTATTATTATGATCCAGTTTCTAGTCCAAATTATTCTCGAAAAACAAACCAGTATTTCAAATTTGCTGCACTTTCTCTATTTTTTTATATAATCCCATTTAAATATTTTTTTTTTGATAATTTTTTAATATTCATGTGTATTTGCATAGTGGTAAACAAAATATTTAACAAAATTAATTTTTTAAGTACAGTAGGTATATCAAAATATATATATATATATACATAAATTATATATTTCAATATTTCAAAATATCAATGAGTTGTAGTACTAGTTTGCAGAAGTGATTTCAGACAGATTCTTGGTTATATTAATAAAAAAGTATTTTTATTTGTTTAAAATGGAATAATATTCAATATAATAGCTCATTTACTATGCCAGCCATTTCAATTGGTGTAAATGAGCAATAACTTTCGCTTACATCTAATCATACGTCAAAAGATCTTGTACCAAGAAGATTCAGCAAATTCGTAAACCTGATTACTTACTACTTAATTACCTATTAAATTTAAATCAAACAACTCAAATAATTAGATGTAACCGGCTTATAATTGATTATAAACAAGTCACTGTCTTTTAATTTATAGCAATTGAACATGGTATTTTTTTCTGTGCAGTATTTTTGTACTTTAAAATTTCTCGGTAAATTGGCCACATTACTTCGTAATGGTAGCATATTGAAAGTTAATTAATGGTAAGCTGTTAACGAAACCTTATAAACATTGAAACACTATGATATCCATTCCTGATTTATGGGGTGGTCGACGATATTATACTTAGAAGAATGGGCAATAAACTGTACATCTATTTCCTTATACATTTCCATGTTAATAAAAATTGACCCGAATATAACGATCCGTTAATCTAGGTTAATTAAAAAATAGATAATATGTAAATGGGCTTTTAATCCTAATTTTACTCTAAACACTTTCATATTGGTAACATTTAAAAAAATCACTGAAAAAATGTTTGTTTAATATCAATAAACCATTTTAATAAACGAAATATCTTTTCGACGCTTCAATTCTATATTTATTTTCTAAATATCCATGTTTTTTCGAGATACTTTAGATTCCCATTATCTACTATTTAATAAGAATCTAAAATCGACCAACCCTAAAATAATTCTTTTTATTGGTTAAATAAAGCAGTAAAAACATGTAAATTGATGTATTATCTAAAACTTATTTGTTGATTTATACTTAATACTAACTGTAACCCGCGTCTTCGCCCACATCAGTAAAGGATTCGCACAAAAATTGTGGTCCTTCGCCAGGTAGAGCAAACACTTCCTTAGCGAAAACATAGCCCCATGTTTCTATTTTGAACAGGTTAAACTGGTTTCATTCAGACTTATGTACATGTTTACGTTTCTGCGACGAGTTATAAACGAACACTGTGATATAATATATAGAATCCAAATAAACTACGTACATATAATCTACACTACATTCCATTTTTAAGTTGGAATAAAAAGTAAACTTTTAAAAGATGTCATCAAAAAGTACGAAAATACAATAGCGTACATTAAACCCTATTCAATTTCTTCTTATAATATTGTCTTCTTTAAAAGGATATAAATTGGACTTTTCATACGTTTTAATTATTTTTCATTTTAAGATATATTAAAAGAGCTTTTTGTTTCTTTATTGAAGTTTGTAGAGGCCGAACCTTAAAAGAACAATGGCAACCACAAAGTAAACAAAAAAAAAGAGTAGTAAGAGTACCTAACAAATAGGATTTTTATTCATTTCTATTACACTAGTGCTATCAACAGTAGACATATAGGTATTGGAAAAAGGGTTAATTATGTCGTTATGCTTTTCAATTTTTAAATTTAATGTTATATATACCTACACCTAAATTTAATACATTTTTTTTTATTAAATGCTACTTTTAAAACTTTTGTTTAGTTTCTATAGTAAAATATTATTATTATTACCTATTATAAAGTAGTATAAAGTACCTGCATTATACAGATTTTACAGAATTTGTACTTAGGTTCGTAAAAGGTGTTAATGTCATTCCCATAAGTATCGATGTCAAGAATAACAACTTCCAAAGGTGAACTGAGTTTTTTCGCAGAGTATTTGATTCAACATCATGTTTATATTGAAGATAATACAAAAGTTTTGATTAAAATTTTGGAAATGTAATTTTCTTAAGAATCATTAGAACTTAATAAAGATATTTTTAAAGTGCTTAAATAAACAGAAACTTTCTCTTTGAAATTGAAATAAATCAAAAACTATTTTATGAATCAATAAATAAACGAAAAAGCTTACCATATTGTACATACGCTGCGAGAAGGAGTACAGGTACAAACAGTGACATTGCCATTTTGAGTTCACAGAGTAAATAATATAATCACAGAGATAGTAAAATCGCGTTCCGTTTAGGCGGTCGGCTTCACACAGCTTTGGCGGTTGAATGGCGAGTGAGCGGCGGAGATGTCGCAACATGAACCTACTGCGGCACGCACAAAGGAGTGGTTGTAAAGCGGCGTTTGAAACGCTTTCAGATAACAAAACTAAAATCTATACGTTCCATGAAACTTTTTTACTCCACATATAGGTAAAAAATAATTTTATCTAGTGTCTAGTGAGCGATAGGCTCTCATGGTAATGAAGAAGAATTATTTACTTAAAATAAACTATAATCAAACTTCAATTAATTATAGTATGACTATTTCATATAAATAAACAACAACAGTATTTCAAAAATTTTTATAGTATTCCTGTGTAAATAATGTTATTTTTTACATATTTAGAGGATGAGGATATCGTCGTATTTGGTCACTGACTCTTTTTTGGCTATTTAACTTCGATCAACAGTTGTATTGTTGGTCGAAGTTATTTAATCGTTCTAACTGATGCAATATATTTCTTTGCCGTCTACGGTTTTCACAATCTAGAATTATGGTAAAATTAAGAACATTGATAGGTTTAATTGCGATAGGTGAAAAACCGCATCATTGATCCTATTTTTAACAACTGCAAAGAAGGTAACTGATTCATCAAAAAATAAACTAACTCTCGTGTCTTTTCTTTTTAAGAACAAATCGACAGACTACCCATGCCATGAGTACTTGGTACCAATATAAGAAACAAGCGTTCCAAACGCTTCTTTAGCGATATTACCAATTACACAGCTCGTACAAATGGTGGGATTGGCGCGTATACGGTACTATGCGTACAGCTTTTTTTTACTACTACAATAACATAGTGTAGACAAGATCTTGTGTAAGTATTAAAAAAGGTTAATTACTTTTTTATAGAAACTTATTTTAAGAGTATCAATTGAACGTAACATTTAAATTTTGAAGCTGTCCTTGCTTTTAGATATTCTATACTAGTTGTCTGGAAAACTATAATATTTAATATTAATATTTTCATTATTTCAAAATTCAATATTTTAATTTAAAGATCAAATGTTTTTAATAATGTGCATGTGGATTATCTGTACAACAGAGGCAGTGTCAGTTCCTACCTCAGTTGCATCATAAATTATTGAAAATGCGTTTCTTTTAAGTCATGTTAAGGTTTGAATAGACGAAATTTCGAAGAAAGGTCTTCTAGATTGAACGGTACAATATTGTAATTTTAATCTTTTAAATTCATCGATTAATGAATTGGCTTTGAAACGAGACAAATGACCACTAAGCATGCAATGGATATAATACGCCTAAAAATGTACGTATTACGTACTCGTTTCTATACGTTTATACATATAGATACGTAACCGGTATCGGCGCTCTCACGGGAAAGCGTAGGAATTTTGAAAATGTTTAAAAACCTTCTTGGTCTGTACTACATTAGATTTAATTGTAATCTCTTTGCTAGGAATACAAAAAAAGATTTTACAATTTTAAATAATATATAAAATATTAGCAAATGTAAAGAAAAGCGATGCAAAACGTCGCTTATCCGTTCCACGTAACCCCGTGAGAAAATGTGTGTGAAGTTGGCTAAATGTGATAACTATCGTCTGCCTAGCACAACAGATGGCGTTATAGGTTCTCAAACAACCTTTAAACCGGCTCTAGAGTTATTATTAATAGTATGTAGTTTTGTAGAGCAGATTTTTTATCTAGCATACAATGTGGCCAGGTGACTTACTCCTCAGCATCAAGGTATTTTTGACAGGTCATAGGATATGTTTCCCGGCCTGAAAAATATAAATAATGATTTTTTCCATATTGTCTGGAGTCTGGTGGGCTCTGACGCATATCTATGTCTGTGTAATGTTATGTGATATGTTCTCATAAATCACACTAAGTATTTTCCTTTTCAATGCATAGAGCAAGCTCTTATTTGGTATTGTTATTTATTGTATAGGCATTTGCACAAAAAGCAAATATTTGAAAATGAGCAACCTACATCATACTTTTAGGTTGTTATGAAACAAGATATAAAAAGAACTAAAAGATGATAAGTAAATCAAATTAAATAATTTATTTACATTAAACAAAAAAAAAAAAAAAAAGGGACGAGGTGATTAGTGAGGTGAAAAGTGTAGAAGTGTGAGTGAGAGTGTCAGTGTAGGTGAAGGGGCGTGGGTCAGCGGTGAAATTCCGTTGATGATGTCCTTCAGCAGTCTTCAGCAGTCGTCTGGATCCGGAGCGTAAATTCGGCGAGGCGTAGTCTCTCGATGCGTCGAACAGGAGATTCTTCGGCAGCCAAGAACTGAGAGCGTAAATCGGTGAGGAATAGTCTCGATGCGTCGAACAGGAGATTCTTCGGTAGCCAAGAACCGAGAGCATAAATCGGCGAGGCGTAGTCTCGATGCGTCGAACAGGGGATTCTTCGGCAGCCCAGAACTGAGCAGCAGCTCGGGCCTAAGGCGTATACTCGCAGACAGCCTCCAGGAGAGGCAATTTTGGTCTAAGATTGCAGGGAGTGAAGTAGCAAAGGAGGTTATAGTGGAGTATTGAATTGTTGTCGTCTAGTTAAAGCCAGAAAGATGTCATGCGACTTTGAGACCGTAACTTTGAAGAGTTCCCGGGGCAGTCGGCCCCGGGAAATAGGCCTTTTAAGAATTTAGCTAGCTCTGTACGAGCTCCAAAAAGCTAACTTGGCAACTGTTGCCGTTGAAGTGATGAAGAACTATTTGAGCGAGGCTATTTATACCTGAAGACGAACTCAAATTTAGAAGTAAATGATTTCAAATTAGAACCCTAAAAATTCAAAAACTACAGAGTTTCAATGCCTAAAACTGACAAACAATGAGTCAATTTTCATGAAGAGTATCAAATATAACCATAGCAACGAAGAAAAACTTTGATGTCAATTCTGTCAAAACAATTAAAATTAGCGATAATTTGTGTTATAATTTGTAAATAAATGCTTTAATATGATTAGAATTGGTAAAATGAATAACGAAAAACTATGAAAGCTACAGGTAAGGGTTCACATTAGTATAAGTAGACAAAAACATAGGATGAAAGTTCGTAGAGGTTTGGATAAGTTTATATTACAGAATTTTAATGGTTACAGATATAAAATTGAAGGACCACAGTTATAGAATGGAGAAAGTAAAGAATATTAATGGAAAACACTAAAAAGTTTATCAATATGAGCAAAGTTAGTGATATGAATCTAAGGAATGAAAACGATACGAAAGGTTAGTTATGACAAGGTTCAAAATGTAAATCCTCAAAACAAAAAAAAGGCGAACCTAAATTTTCATCTTTTTCATTTCTTGGTGTATTTAAACCTTCGTAGCTGAAGTAATCATGCAGGACTTTTACAATAATTGTGATAGTTTGTGTGCAATTAATTAAGAAACTAACTATCTCACTTTTCATTGCCAGGCGCAATGAGATAGATAGTCCTTACGGTTTACGCCTTCTTTTAACACTGCTTTATTCGTCTTGTATATTTTATATACATATACAAGACGAAACAACCTGGTTGGAATTTTCAGAATCCCTAACGAATATTTACAATCTTCCCTAAAATCAGTGCCAGAAACCTTTGCCTTTTATAAATACAGATTATCTGATAAAACATTATCTATTAGATGTCAAGTATCTATGGTTAAAAATAAATTCCGAACTAGTCCCAATTAATTAATATTATCCGCGATAAAGTTGACACAGAAAACAGATTACGGAACGTGGAAGTCGCATTCGAATGTTTACAAAATAATTTAACAGCATTCTTATATTTAACGAAGACTGCCGAAGAATAGAATTGTTCCAAATTCTTGCTGCGGGTCGGTTAAAATAGCGCTACACAACTACCGTCTTTGTTAAAATATGTGGTTTCTATATGAGAAATAATCTCACGTCAGTCAAAAGAATTGCTGAGATATTCTATAATGTTTTGTTCCCTTAACTTACATGTAAAACCTACATTTATTATGTAGTATGTTATGATATTGTATTATTGAATGAATAGTATATGTGTAATTATATATTATACGGAGCGTCATTTAATGGATTTGTATATAAAAATAGTCCTGTAAATCCGCAAACATATATTTATACTTTGTATTGGTAATGCAGTATTGGAAGTTGGTTTATCGGTATAGGTGTTTATGTTTTTATGGGGGTGAGAATATGCTATATGTATGTAGTTCGTGTACTTATTTAGACAAATACAACAATGTTTACGTTGGTTATGGGGGTTTTGTGCTATCTTCTTTATTACCTACAATATGTAGCGTGCATTTGTGCGAATACAGTGATATATAATAATGTTTAATCATAATATGATGACAATATATGATTGCATGATATGTGGAATTGTTACGCAATTATTATTATAAAAGACACCGGTAATAATTCAATGTTCAGTGTTAATTGTCTAATTTGAAAAGCTATCGCAAACTCTTTCATAGTTTTAGCAATTGTGGTAACGATTTATGGAATTATGTAACTTTTAAAGTCTCCATCTCGAACAAACTATGATTAAAATTATCAAGAAACATTATAAAAACTTAGTTAAAACCATCCAAAGTTGCAGTTAGCATGCAACTATTTTTTTTTAATATTTTTAATTAGTTTTAAAGCATTTATCGATTTGCTTAGATTAGACAATCCCAATTAATGTGATATCGTTAGTTGTAATTGACATCTTATTTGGAATTCATTCAACATATTACAAAAAAAAACATGCAGAAAGTTATCCCGTGAAGATCGTAATATCTTTCAAATGTCAAATTGAAAAGCATTGCGATGGATTTTAAAATTAGATAATTAGAACCCAGGTATTTTGTACAATACCTATACATATAGAATAGCTAAGATTTTTAGGTAATATATAAAATATTAAGACTTTTATTTTTCATTAATAGTTTCCCTAGGTAACATATATGATTTTTATTAAAAAAAATTGTAGGTCACTTACTAGTACACAATAGTAATATGTAAAAATGCCCATACAAATCATTTGTTCCATAACATATACATATTCTGATGAGAATAAATAATAATTATAATAAGTTTTCAAGATGAACTATTTCTATAATAATGTTTTTTAACTATTGTATATGTAAAAAACTAGTTTAATATGGTATGTGTGAGCGAATTTATGTTGGTATCTATCAATTTGTCACTCAATAGGTATTTAAGATTTGTATAATGATTGCAATGGTCCTACATAAGCCAGACATGCCCACCCTATACTAATTAAGGTCCGGTAGGCATATCTGCAGATTTATCCTCAGGCATGCCCGTCTAGTGAATTCCCCGCTTAAGTTTACCTACAATCAGTAGGTAATTTACCGCTCGCATCACTTACATACTGATATTTTAATGTCTAGAATCACAATGAACCTGATTTTACAGCAAGGAATAGTTTTTTTTTATGACAGAAGTGTTATCATTTCCTACTCAATTTCTCAATTTTTTACTCTCTAATATTTTTTAAAATGAATATTCAATTAGGAAGTATTTAAAAAAAACATTAGTTCCCGAAATCAAACTAGATGTCGCTACGGTACGTTCTTGATTTCTCCTTTCCGGTTTTCTTACAAGTTTAAAAGTAAATTAGTTTTCAATGCAGTTGCTCATAAAGCGCTATTTTTTTAATCCATTGTAAACACCGAAAGTGAGTCTTTAAACACGTGTTAAATAAAAATGTACTGAAATCCTTTACTGCACACGTGCTTAAAAGTATTTTTTTAATTTTTTTGGCCGAGCTTTCGTTTTTTTTAAATACTTCCTCATTGACTGAACATTGATGAAAATAGTAACAAGTGCTTGAAGTATTAGGTCTTGGGTAGCTCAATGGTTAGAGCAGTCGCCCGAATTGTGAAAGGTCTTGGGTTCGAATCCCATCTCAGAATGCCAGGGGTAAAGAGGATTTTTTAAGCATTATATTTTTCAGTATAGCATTGTGAAAGCAAAATTAATCTAATATAATAATACAACTTTTGTTCTTTATAATGTTGGGGGTACAATAACGCCTAATAAAAAATAATAACAGAAGTTGATATTGGCTCGCTTTATACGTAGTCTCTGCTGCAATTGAACGTACTTATTAAAATAATTTTATAATATTTTTTTTCTAAATATGTAGATACCAAAGCACTTTCAATATTTTTGATGTTCTTAAAATATACCATACGTAATATCGTTCTATTTCAAAGTAGTAGCTTAGCGAATTACAAAACTAACTCAGATTAACGGAAACATGACATTTTAGCAGACAAAGCATATTATTATTAGTCTACAAACATTTTCATTTGTGTCAAATTTCCGTGATTTAACTAACTAAGTAATTTAAACTTTTTTAAAGTAATGTAATAACTAGAAACAAGACACTTGAATTTTTTGCTATATGACGGAATGCAACAGAAAATCTCCCTATCCTTTCATTTTGCGATCAAGTTGAAAGTTAATTCCTTGTATATTGTGTAATTGAAACTATTGTTTATTGATAATAAAAGAAAGCTGATAGATTGAAATATAAAAAAAAGTTTGACTGATATATCTATATGAAGGCAACTCTTGGTTAACTCTATATCTTTATTTAAACTTACTTCAACAGGTAATAAAAGTTTTATTTCATTGAAGTTCTATGCTGCCATATCGTTATGTTTGACGTCGAATTCAAGGCTGTTTTTAATAGAATAACATTGCTGATTACATTATTTAACAACAGCTAAGTAGGTCCAGCTGCTTTCAAGTACTTACAGCGTTTATCAACGAAGAAAATGCAATTGCAATCGTAACATACTACGAGTACCTACAACGATAAGGAAAATATAACCTAAATACATTTTCTTTGTGTAGGTAAAAGTAGGCATTACAATGCCTATTAAACAGTAAGACATTTTCTTAATGTTAACCTGTAACTTTCTAGAGTAGCTCGGTGGTGTAGTGGATAAATGGCGTGGCCAGAGATCGTTGTTGTCAAGTAACTTTCGCAATGGTCGGTCACGGGATGGGTGACCAAAAAATTGTTACGTCGAGCTACTCCGTGTTAAGTGTCACGTTAAGATGTTGGTCCAGTCTCCATTGCAGTCGTTAATACTCTCCAATCGGCAATAGACCAGCATGGATGGTCATGGCCTATCCTCCTTAACTATCCATAAGGAAGCCCTGAGCTCCTGCTTCGGGGACGTAAAAGGGCTGAAGATGATTATGTTTAAAAAAAACATATAAGAGCAATACTTTTCTATTCAAAATGCAGTGTTAAACGCAGATTCACAGTTCTTAGATGCAATAGAGGTTTGATCATCTAAATAAAGCCTACTCGTAAAGACAATAAAGATCATATTTGATCGAACCTCTGGCTGCTAGAGCGATGTTTTTGGCCCTGTGTTGTACTCAGTGGCGTAACTATACTGTTTGAGGCCCATAGCAAATTAATCGGATATTGTATTTTTTTTTTTGCTAATTGTGTAATAATGAATGTCAGAAATAAGGGTTCTCCTTTGACTGGGGACCCCCTCTAGCTGGAGGTCCGTACCTGAAGTTACACCATTGGTTGTACTACTCGTCCGAATTAAAATGACACTTGTAGGCGTATCCTTCGAAATTTCGTCTATTTTTAAAAAGCTGATTTCAAAGAAACTCATTTTTCGATATTTGTGAAACAACGGAGGAATGACTCGACACTCCTTTTGATGCACAGATTTTTATCTAGAGAATCAAAAGAGATTTTAACAAAATTATTAGAATAATTCGAAATATCCTGAATTTTTTGTTTAAGTACATAGAGAATTTAGACATTCGTTACTTCTTCAGTTATGTATCTCTCCTGTGCTGCATGCAGCTGATAGCAGGTCCTTTAGGTATTTTTATGAACTATAAAATATGTGTTTGTTTTGTAACTCAGTACGTCTTCATTTGAAAAACATGTAAACAATGCAGGTAAATAATTGAAAGAGAACAAATTAGTGTAGAATCGTTTTACTTTAATAAACTACTACGGAGACTCTTGCATTATTAATACTGAATTTAAACAGGTACCAATCACAGTTCGAAAATAGTTTGATCATTTTGCTGACTTTCATTGTTTCAAATTCTTAAAAAAATTATGAGTGCAAATCGAAATGAATTGACATGGTCAGAGATTTTCTTTTTAGATGATGTCCTTTTTATCTTTTTTCATACAAAGTGTTGAAGACAACAAACCTTTTTATAAGGTGACCGTGTCTATACAAATGGAAAAAAAACATCCTTAAAACAATGTTAAGTGAGTTAAAAAAGACCAAACTGTTCCATCCCATCGTTAGTTAAGGTGGATCTACAATAGCGAGTTGCGAACGGGTGAAATACAAACCGACCACGGTTCGACGAGCACGTGTGTATTATTTTATATATGTATATTTTCGTGTATTATTTTCATAGATACCCTATTGTTTGATTCTTGTTCAAAACGCGTCTGAAATTTTTATTAGTAATAATCTAAAACGCTATCGGTTGTGCAGATTGTTTATGCTGTGCCGTCGTATGAAATGTAAATAACAACATAACGCAAGTATATAACAACAAACATTCGTATCTGTAACCAAAGTGATATAATATTCATATGCCGTTTACGAATCGAATGACGTCACATGGCCTTTTGTCACATCATATTTTCTACATGGAGTTTTCTTGTACTTTTACTGAAAAAATAGATGTATTGTTGTTACGTAAGATAAATACTGTAGGTTTTTGATGTGCATTAATATTGAGTAAAGTATGATCGGTTATTTGACGATCGAAACACCGCATGCGATGGCGTACAGAACGATTCCGCTCGTGTTTGACGCGCTAGCATAGCCCCACCTTTAAATAGTTTCAGATTGTTCAAGACATTGTATGTTTCGTAAGCAATGGACTGACTATAAGGAAAAACAATGCTACAGCAATATCTGGCATTGATTTTGAAACTCCGTTTGTGTTACATTTGTCACCATAACATTCATGGCAGGATAACAACTTCACTATATTCGGATGACCCTCGTGAGATTTCCTTATGTCTTCGCAATTACCTCGCTCGTTTGCGCATCCACGGATGTATACAGGTCTGGTTACATCTACAATAATAAAACATATAAAATAAATAATGACGAAAATATGTTTTCTTTTTAAATGATGTAAAGATGAATATAATACAATAATGTGTGTGTATTTTAACACATTTTTGTGAAGCTCGTTCTTTTTATTGACCATATTATAGTATGAATTTGGGGCCTCCCTAACACTGGCGCCCAGGGTAAGTGCCCCTAGTAGCGCTCTCCCCAGATTCAACTCCGACTAGGCTAAAATTTAGCATGCACATACTCCTTAAAGGGTTTAGGCAAGAAAGGATTTTAAGATATTTAAAAGAAGTTTGTATGAAAGTCCGTTAGTTGCAAATCTAAATCGATAAAAAATTATTTCATTAAGAATGGGAATTGATTTTTGATTTTTGATTTTTTTTTTAAAGTTCTCTAAGGCCGTTATTTGGATTTGTGATCATCAATTTATTATCTCCAGCTCCGATAGTACTTCAGAAGGCACGTTAAGCCCGTCTACATCTGCAGCTGTCAACATCCATCTGCTCTATTTCGGTGCTCCAGCAATTCGGACATAAACAATGCTGATAATTTTATGTGTAGTTTACTTACCATTAAACTTTTCTGAATACACCACACATTTATTGAAGCCGCATTCCTTGACGGTTATGTTGGGATGGATGTCAGGGCAATCGATGCAACTGTAGCAATCATAGCTTATTTTCACTAAACTTGAGACAGGACCTGAATTGTAACCTTGGTTTAAAGAAAGGCTTGATATCGGTTTCACTCCAGGATTGGCTGGAGCGTAACCGTAAGGGCGAAGTTCCTCAGCATCTTTCTCTTTAAAATCGCCTTGCTGCTGAGGTTTTCCTGTCAAATTTAAATTTTATTGAAATCCTATATATATGACGTAACAATTTACAATCTTATTATTATTTCAGTTTTAACTGTTTTCGAATGACAGCAAACTAATACTCATTTAGATAATAATTACACTACTGATGTTATTCAATGGCGTACTTGATAAAACTTGGTTTGTGATTTTTTATTTGAATTGATTAAGCAACTTTCACAATGCCCGGTCACGGGATCTCGAACTCATCCGTGCTATGGAAGGCATGTCAAGCCGTTGGTCTAGGCAACATCTGCATTCGTTAATACCCGCTAATCCGCACTAGATTAGAGCCGCGTGGTGGGTCATAGACCATTCTCTTGATTCGATTCCATGTATAGGGAAGGCCTGAGCACCAGCGTTGGAGACATTAACAGACTGGTGATAACGATGATGTCACTTGATAAATTTAATCTTTATCTGTAAATACTAGTAATAGATATTTATTACACAATTTTGTCAAGCGAGCATTATACCTGTGCTAATAGAATAACACAACAAATTAAATATGAACGTCACGAAAAATAGCACAGTAGGTTTCATTTTGTTCACTTTACCAAGCCAATCCCATTTTTAGCATTATACCATTTTTATACTTCGTATTATCGTTGAAATCTCCTTTTAATTGTATGCTTCAAAGAACTTTAGCATGCAACCATCGAACCGTTTCACATTCATATTGTTTTACTTAAATATAATTTCCTGGTATTCCGGCTTAATTATAGATGCAAGTACGTAGTTTAATCAATAGATTAGATTGCAGGTGTTGTAAATATTATGGATTAGGTTAAAAATATTGGCGGAATTAAAGTTTTGTGGTTTATTAATATTTCGATAATCAATATTGTGGTGTTATAAATGTAGTGGTATCTAAATTTTTGATTGATAATTTGATAAGATACTGATTGAAACTGATGATGTATATTGTGTATTATACCTCTTAAATTTGTATCAAAGGAAACTCATAATCAGGAAAATCAATAATATTAATGTTTCTTATTATTGACTGAAAATGTTAGGTAAGGTGAATAGAGTATTGGTGTACGAAAATATCGAACAAAAAAAAGTTAATCTGCAGTCTTCAAACAATCTATAATAACAATAACTAAAACTAAAATAAACATCATTATAACTGTTAAGTTTGCTTTAACAATAAGAATTCTAACTTATTTTTATCTTACAAAATAATTGAACAAAATTATTTCCAGCCTGACAATTTTTTTAAGTATTTTTAAATATATGATGAATGTTTCAAATTGCATATTCATTCATATAAACAAACACCTTTTATTAAGGCGATCGTTAATCATAATGATCTAGTTTTTTGACATAAGGTATTCCCATACATCACTACGGTTCCATTTATTGTAACTTGATCTTTTTATCGTTAGAGAATCTTTGGTGTTACGATAGAAATTGACATATAAAAAGCATAGCCTATATACAGCAATTTAAAAGAAGAAGTAGATATTGCAGTGCCCTGTTTGGATTAAGGATTGTGATTGCAGATAAGATATTATGCAATTTAAAAATTAGTCGGTGACCAAAAATTAACCCTGTGCTTTGGAAAGTACAGTAGTATCTGCAGTTATTAATATCCACAAATGGTACCAATCTATATTTCTTTCGATTCAGCTGGCCTGACAATAACAATTAATGCATTGTTGTTATTTATTTATATCTTATAATGAAAAATGTTTTTAAAAATCCCCAATATCGGGGTGCCTGGGACAGGTGAATTTTATCAGTATTTTATATTAAAATTTATAAAACATTTATTTATCATATCATAAATTTAAAACCCATGCAGATTAGCTAGAACCCACGTTCTTTCGAAATCCAGCGGTATTGAGAAATTAAGAACGTCAGACTTGAGTCGACTAGAGTACCTATAGAGTACTTTTGGGAGTTTAAAGCAGTTTACAATGATGTTAATGGACTTTTTGACAGTAAGAGGAGTTGGTTAGCATGACTATACCATGATAGAGTATTGAGGTAAGTAAAAGAGTCTACAACATTGCAAAACTATCGCATTATATGCAGCACTGATTGTACAAACTATTGTGCGTTAATTTGGTAATCATATTTTATTACACGACAATAAAAACCCTTTATATTTTGGATTTGGTGTAGATGCGTTAAATCCTTTTCGATATTATATGAGATTACAATCTGTTTCTGACCGAAACGAGATATAAATCCATAACCTATCGCTAACCTGACGATTGCTCTAACCATTGACAGCGAGATTAGTGTTTAAGTATGTACCCAAATAACCAAAAATGTTTTTAATAAATAATTTATTTTTAATACATATTTTAACACACGTAGGTATTCATTTACTGTAAGTAACACTTCTTCTGATTATAAAATTAGAATTTAAATTAGTACTTAATTTAAACCATTTGCCATCTAAAGTAAATTAACAATGACAGAAGAGAAAACGTCGAATTGAATGGTGTCGACTTATTTTTGTCGGATAACGGTAAAATCCTGGTACAGTTTTGGTTATTTCAATTTTTTATAACATTAATGCAATATTTTTCTGATCCTATGCTAATCGCGATTAAAGCAAGCTAAGCTTTTTATCTATAGTCTGTCTATAAACACTTTTTTTATCTAGGCACTAAGGCAGACACGATAACAGACTAAAATTAAAAGTTGCGAATGCACATTTATCTCATATATGTAAATACAATACATAGTAAAATAAAGTCTAAAAATATTTAGTTTATTGAGTCACATAGAATTTACCCAATAGTTAGGGTAGGTAGAAAATAAATCACTATCCCATAATAACATTGTACACATCCCTATACCAAAAGAGTTTAATGGTTGTCTATGGGGACGCTATCTGAAGGTTTTTTTTTGCATTTAAGTGTGTGATCGAAATGCATTGTTTAATACCATTAAGATTAGGTACAGTTATTCAAGTTTCTCTGTCTTTATTTACATGGTAATTAAACCCAGAAATATATATAAGTAATTTTGTAAATAAATATAATCTATCTTTAATAACTATAAAAAAGAAACAACCATAGAATTTGTAAATCAATAGCTTGACTTATTATTTTCTAAGTTTTTTCATTGTTGTAATGAGTAGCTTGTGAAAGAAGATTTTAATAAAAAACACTTATAAATGTCAAAAATGGATATTTAATAAATTAAATGTAACTAACATTAAATTTGCATAACAAAAATATTTACAACCTACTTAGGCAAATAAACATAGAGTGACATTATTTGCCATTCTTAAGTACATAAGTCAATTTAATTAAAAAAGTTATAAGCATGGTCTTTCTCCTTATATCTACTTCCGTGTTTTGGTAAAAAATATTTATAACACAAATTACAAAGTTAAAAATAATAAGAATATTTGTCATGCTCTATTTTACTATAAAACTTTGCTTATAATTAAAGAAATATAATATATCTATTATATATTAACAGATATATTATATTGATGATATAGCTACCACGTTATCAGACTAAATTGACATTAAAAATTAAATATACGTTTTACAAAGCAAGTTCAATTTATATAATATATATATATGTTTCCGTCATTTGAAAATTTGAATACCAATACAATTTTAATACAGTTTTGTAGAAATTGAATGAGTTTACATAAAAAAGAAAGGAGGCGGAAGGAAACATTTCTAGATCTTTAAAAATAATAATCGAATTAAATTTGCTTTATTGTACAGGACAAAACAAATGGATACAATCAAATAAAATGCACAATTGGCGGCCTTATTACTAAAATGTATATTCTTCTAGGCAACCTTTGCGCACAGGAAGAAACTATATCTAAATTTGGGTAGCTTATGGTGCCTCAAAAACTTTAGTACACTATATATTTAATAAATGAATTAAATAATAGATAGGTACCACATAAACGATAAATCATACATACATATAATATAGCATATACGTATATAATATAGTTAAGTAATAGATTAGTATTCTTTAACTAGTCCTTTAAAAATTTGTATGCTTTATGCACATCTGATATAATGATTTATTAATGAATTTACTTGTATGCATTAGTATTGACAACTTCAAGTTCTCTGATGACCTCAAAACTCTAGCGTGCGTGTTGTGAAGGAATTTAAAACGATACGTAAGGTAAACCCGTGAATAAGGATTGAACAGAATACTGTAAAAAAGGGAAACAATATGTACATTCCGGTGAAAACGAATTGGCAGCCACTTGAACTTAGCATGAAAATCGGAAACATGATCATATTTGAGTAAACCAAATGTAAATCTAATAAAAAACTTTTGAAGCCGTTCAAGTTTATT